AAGTAGGATCGTCGAACGGATAACAACATAACATTGAGAATTGACTCGTCAAATTAACCACTTAGACGGAGAGTTCCCCATATTCCATTTCATTGGCAACCGAAATAGATCTAAACAGCGTGCCTGGAGCGAAGGAAGGGCTTCAAAAATGAATGGAAAAGTCAAATCAATGAAAGGCCCAGATGTAGCCTTTGTATGCTGAGCAAGCCTACACTGGCTGAGATGAAGAAAATATCAACACCGATGAAATGTTTGAAAACATAGACAACGGAAGGGAAGAAGTCACTCTCAATCCGATCTAGCAAGAAATGCTATACCGATAAAGTCAAGCGAGAGAGCTCATTAAGTAAGAAGGCCATCTTCCATCCGTCTTTTTGTTTTAGATAGGCCAAGGCTAGTACGAGAATCCGAACCACGACGGATCTTGTCTTAGGAAATATAATGGGACAGGAGGCCTATATGACCTTTTGTTTGATTCCGTTTTCCAAACCTTTCTTTAGAACCAACCTGGAATGCAAACAAGGAAAGGGCTGAAATCTCCATATCTGATCCAACAAAAAAAACCTGACCTTAGCAGTGATAGAGATAGCCAAGCTGTAGACAGGGGGAGGGCCCAAATTACCTTTTCTAATAGAATGAGGAAGGGAATCGCTTTGATTGTTTGCGACAGCTTATCGATGCTCGTTAGCGGTGAAGTCCCTCAAACCAGAAGTTTCAAAAGCGGGCCTACGAGAGAAATTAACTTTACATACTGATATAGCATACCGAAGGGAAGGCCTAATTATACCACACCCCTGACCTTCCACTCTCAACCCTTTCATTTTATTTAATAGAATGGTAAGCCGGTCTTATTCTTTTATACGAGTAAACAACTTCTGCTCTAACTCCTTGAGGAAAAAGTCTTGCATCTCGCCCAACTCCTACAAAGCCCACCCCCGAAGGATAAAAGGAAGTTATCATCACCGATGTTACTAACCTTATGCTTCGCCAATCTTTATATGCCACGGGGAATCGATCAGTTGATTTCGTTGCAAGACTATCTTCCGAACCCAGCATCAAAGTCTTGTCACCGTGCCCGCTTGGGGTTGGGGTCTGTCTGAGTAAGGAAAGAGCTCGTAGCCACGTTATCGGTCTTGTTGATAACCTTGAGACCGGCGAAGACTACGCTCCAGCTGGTGGTGAAGGAAAGGGGGAAGGAACTATAGAATAGAAGGAGATGGACATGAACCGTCACGGTCTTTCTGGTGAATCAGTGTTGTTTGCATAACACTCATAGGCTCTGGGACTGATGACCTTACTCTTCTAGTCTTTTCTAGTAAGCCTTGTTGGATGACTCAGAGCTCTTGTGCTCCCTCTTTTAAATATCCCTTTGCTGTCTTCGTAACCGCAGTGAGAGTAGGAGCTCAAGCAGTTGCCGCTGCAATACTAGTCGCTCTTGAGTAAGTAGGAGCTCTTACTGCGCTTGATGGTGAATAAGCCTTGGAATCCGTGTTGAGAAAGCATGCAATTGCTATTACAAAAGCATATCCCTTATCTAATTAGAAGGAGCTTCTTTCCAGCAAAGTGACAACTGGGAAGGCAAGGGACTGATTACACTAGTCAGACATGCCCAGAAGAGGAGGAAGGAAAGGTTTGTTGCACGTTTTTATTCCGTGTGGGAGTAATGCCTCCCTGCCGATTGCTTTATCTCTCCCCCTATCTCTAAAGGGGGACTCAGTCCTATAAACATATAGAGATCTTGCCTCTGTCGCTGCATAGAGTGATCTACTTCAATCACCTTTTAATCTCCGAGTTCGAAGGGTAGAACAAGGGAAGGTCAAGGATTTCCTCTCATTACTCTTTCCACGGCAAAGTCAGCATCTTAGCTCAAAGAGTAAGGATTTCTTCCTCTACGTCTGCTGCTATTGATGTGCTGATCTGGTGTTATTAAAACCCCCACGTATCTATTGTTTAACAGCTCAAAGAATCCAACTCCAGCAGCATATTAATTGATATAGACGAAACGCGCCCCACATTATTAGGACGTTCCTATCGAACACATATCCTATCTATAAAGGGAAGATTGGGAAAGACCTTTATCTGTTCTTCTCATCCGTACAATACTCTTTATAGAGAATCTGCCAAAGAATATGAGACCTTTGCAGAAGGCAATCGGCCGGAAATGGATGCCTTACAGCATAATCTTGGACTTGGCTTAGCTTCCTCCAAAAAATGAAAAGCTAGTGGTAGGCTACAAATAAGTGAACTTTAGGTAATAAAGTAACTAGTTATCTCTCAAACAACGGTTACGCCTTTTCCTAATGCCCTTGCTAAACCACCAACTGCGGTTATTCTGCAAAGACCAGATAAGGCGCATCTATCTAACAGTGGACGATTTTCGGCAACTTCGGAGTCTTTCTGCCCCGCCTGAGAAAGAATACATTCCTCACGTCTGCACAGGCCTATGGGCTTTAGCAAGCCTCTTTCCAGTCGTGGCGTATCATTTCAAAAAGTTCAAGGCATATCACCGTCAGTGCATTATCGAAAAAAGATCAGTAGGATGATATAGGAGCATACCACAATAAGGATATTTTTGTACGCCTAGGCCGTGACTCTTCCATGTCAAATAGTCTTCCAGATGAGATTTACGGTTCTGAGTTAGATTCTAATTGCGAGAAGGAGGAACTGAACTCCGATTGTGATGGCAACTGCCTAATAAGATTGGAGAATAGGGTAGGAATGGAAAGGGATAACGGCGGATAGTGAGCTGGATCCCCGGGGTTGCTCTGGAGCATCTTCTTGCTCCTAAGGATCATTATTTGATTTCATGGAATCTAAGGTTCTGAAAGAACGTAGTAAGTGGTTAAATTTATTTACTCGCTCGTTAGAGGAAGTGAACGGTTGGCTCGAAGAGGGAAGAGATGCGTCGGGTCTTTCTCTTTGAATGGCGGAGAGAAATGGTAACAAGTCAATAGAATTGCCTACAGACCCTACTTTTATAAATCATACAGGATAGGGGAAAACTTAACTTTCTTCCTTGCCGTCAACCGACCTATAGTCGCTGAGATAGTATTGGATCTATTCATCTGACCGTACTTTCATCCGGTGTTAAAGCTGCGGAGCTCGAGGGATGTCTTTGAAAAGGTAAAGTTTTTTCTTTTTTTAGACGCGGTCGAAAGAATACCTGAGAGAAGGATGGGAACTTCTAATATTAGGCGTAGGCCCGTCGCCCTAAAACTCATACCTGTGATTAATAAGAAGAATTTGATGAGTGTCCCCGCCCTTCTTCCCGTACAGAGTCTGTCAAACTCAGTTGTCTTAAACGACATTGGCGCGGTACTCTGATCTGATCTACTCATATCAAAGTATGCCACTCGTGGTCATAGGAGAGCTTGGAGGAAAAATATTTTAGTTCGCCTTCATTCCATAGCTACTTAGTACCTTGGATCCCTTCTCCTTTGAGAACTACCACTCAAGACTGTTGGATCACTCATCAATGTCATAAGCTGAAAATTATGGCTTTGGGGAAGCCGATGCTAACTTGGCTGACACTGACACCGAGAGGAAAAAGGCTTCTTGATGGCATTCCCGACCTACGTGGTTCTTAACTAAACTCTGGGATTTGATAGATAGCAATAAGTTCCGTCGTCACACTATCTGGTTTAGGAAGTTCTCTAGCTTGATTTGAGCTCATTGGCTCACCAAGAGTCATTCCTTTATCGATGGGCAATAAAATCAAAGACAACTGTGAGGCTGCAGAGGGGAAGAGAGGGTAAATTGAGAATAAAAGCTTTACGTCACCAGTTCGTTAGTAAACTGAGACACGTTTAGCATGGGTAAAGGTCAGTGAGAAAGTGATTATTTGAAACATGAATTCCACCAAGCACAACTCCGGCAGGGGAAGCTGTAGCTTATGGGGTGGTCGTGGTATAGCCTTTATAGAATATCCTTTCCCTAGGAAATCTAACTTAATAGGAATTATCTCTCTCGCCAATGCTATTGAATCCGCAACTGTTGGTCTTGGAAGACAATTTTGTCCTTATTTAGCTTGAAAGTGGGCCATTGCGATCGCGGTGATAATCTTTCCATGTCCATGCTAACCCACAACTAAAGCATTATGACTCTTTGATTCCACATGCCCTAACTCCACGAAGGGATGTAATAGACACTAATCAAGATATACTAGTATTCAATCCTAAAAGAGTGAAGGGAGTTCAGAAAGATAGACATTAATCTTGGACTTCATCCCTGAGGAGAAAGATCCACCTCAGCTTGTCCTAGAGCTAGCCTCAGACTCTGAAGTTTATGTTAACCTTACGGGTCTATCAACCGCCTCATTTGCAAGGCTAAGAAGAGCAATTAAAGAAGAAAAGTTGTTATCGCAAGGATTGATTCTTTTAGGAGCTAGCTTAGCCGGACTTCCTAGAATAGTCGTATCTGTATAATAGAAGAATAGAGCGAGGGTAGCTTTCTGTAACGGGCTACTAACTACGACTTTGCTTCCGTAGCACGTCGAAGGTCTTCGTCAGGTGTCAGAATCACATTTATATTATGGTTAATGAACTCAATACCAGATAAAGAAGCTGCGAACAACTGAAAGAATAGAGGGAAGGTTGCATTCACACTTCTCTCTTTGTCATTCTAAAGCAAGGAATGAAGTTGATCTTTCGGAATTAACAAAGATATATGCCATTATCTTATATTTCATATCTATTTTAAAATAGGCCTAGTTCAACTCGACAGGATGGTGTTGGCCAAGAGTGACTAGCAACACGAAGTAGCGATGCCTTGAGGAATCGGTATCACCAGATGCCTAAATGCTTTAGTGATAACAACCTTTATGATAACATTTATTTTTCAGCATTCGATTGAAACTGACTTACCCTATAAGATAGGGGAATTTCTTGAGTTTAGAATGCATAATAGTGTCAGACTCGTTATAAAATATCAGTGTAGATTTAACCGGGCTTCTTCTTTTTCTTAGCATTATAGTTAGTAGGTTGCTTGGGATTATTGACTTGATGTGCTGACTTCTATTTTATCTTATTTCTCTTTCGACAGGATGAAATGCTTCCTGCCGGTTTGATGAGAAAGAAAGACATTCTAGAAGCTTCACTTGTGCCTTAGTAGTCTGTCTCAAATCGGACCGAATCACAGAAAGAGAACGAGTGGGGAGCTCTCATTTCATTCCCAGCAGCTTGGCTGATAATGAGGAAACTAATTCTACCTTTACCGATTGGACTGGTCCAACATCTCCACAAGACGCCCTACCTGTTGGCGCAAGGGAATTTATTTAGGTTGGCTTTCTTTGCCCTGGGACCAAAGAAACAAAGGGAAGCTCAGCTCTCACTACCAGTGAATGATGAAATGCCTCGACTTAGAAACCACAACCCTTCTGTCGAGAGGAAAATCCTTTCAAGCAAGATAGAATCTTAGGGATGCCTTGCAGTTGAAGCCTCTGAGCTTAGCACTACTATGACCGAAGAAGACGATTGACTAAAGAGAAAGACCCCATGAGCCACTTCGCCACAAGGTATTGAATAGCCTATAAGAAAGAATTCTCATAAGGAAAGAGACGCTCTGGAAGACCAGTTAGTGAATCAACCCTTTCATTTCCCTTACAGACGAACTATAGTATAGAAGGAGACATGCTTCCGACTTTCCAGAGTGAGCGTCATACATTACTATAGCACACACCGGTCCCCAAAGAGAAAGGATTTCGTACTTCTTGAAGATTATGGGAATTTTATTCTATTAATAATTTATGAAATGCCGACTAAGACGATAAGGAAAAAGAGAGGGGTAAAAAATGCAAAGCTGCAGGAGAAACCTCGCTTTCATGGATGCTCCAGTTACCGAAGATCCGGAAGAGCTCTGATTTCCAGTTCGTTAATCAATAGAAGCTACCCACGGGTTACTTCCTTTATACGCAGGAACGGAACGAGACCATTTAACATCCGAAGGACTCTACCACTGGAACGATCGATGCCTGATTCATTGCTCGCTCACAACCCTGGTTCGCACTCCGATAGAAAAAAGGAAGGGAGTTGAAGAGTAAGAAAAGGGCTTACCCTTAGACCTGACCAAGATAAGTAAAATCGGTAGTCGAAATAAAGTTCCCTCGAGCTTTATTAGTAGTTACACGAGTGCTCAGATCAATACCGAAACACATATAGAGTGCCTGGTCTTTAAGCCCGATAATGCCACAAAGAAAGAGCACAAGCAGGAATCCTTGCACTGAATCCATACCGAAGAGACTTGAAAAGGTCTTAGACGATCTACACCGAAAAGACATTAGGAGCACTCATTCCTTGTACCCGGGAAATTATTCATAAGGGATGGATCTACACCAGAAAAGTAGTTTATGGCCGGTTCCAATATAGACACTATGGCCCACCCTTTTTTTGAACCTTGTCAATGATCGAACTTAAAGATATGAACTGAGTTTCATTTGATGAGTAACTGAAAACAAGGGAGAGGGATATGGAAAGGATGAAGTAATGAAAGACGAAGTCATTGCTAGTAGTAACGACTTGTCACGATCCATTGGTTCATATAAAATCCATGTCCTAGGTGTATCAAAAAACATTCTTTTCGCTAAGCGTATATAATAAAATAGAGTCAAAGGTCCACCCCGAAAGGGGGTACTAACTAACAGCTGAGTCCTCTCCGAACCGCTGGAGATAGTTTCCCATCATACGGCTCACCAACTTAACTTGCCTCTACGGGAGACTCGCTCCGGGCAGGTTCGGATTATAATACACGGCTCTACGAAGGAAAGGGTTGGTGGGTTGGGAACGTTTTTAAATATTATTATTTTTCCGCGATGAGAAATGCAAGACGAAAAAGGAACCCATCTTTTCGACTGGGAAATGCGAGGCTGTTTTTTTCATTTTCTCCATCCCTCTCTATCAAAATGATAAAAAAGGAAGGCGAGCTTGCTTCTTATTCTCGTGTTCGATCTCTTCCATCTCTGCCCCGCTCGTTGTCACCTATGTTGAAGAAAGGTTTGGAACCCTGTAGAGAGTTAAGAGGGGCCAAGGATCTTCCTTTCAACAGTACTTCTCGAGGCTCCACTCTCCCCCCCTGAATAAATAAGGCCCCGTTAGCCTAAGCGCGGTTCTTTGAATCAAACTTTTAATGAAATCGATTCTTTTTTAGATATAAAAATAAAAATAGGATAGGATAGATGGATGGATCTATCTTTCTATTAATATATATGACTAAAAAAATGGATTTCTTTAAGTAGCGTAGCAAGAAGCCCCCAACCCTTGATTTGGCCAGGAAAGACTGCATTGCTTTGGGCCCAGGAAGCGAAGGGAATGAGATCGGCTGCTTATTCTTCACACTTATTTTTTATCTCCGTGCCCCTTTCGCATGCGCTTCGCGCGCCATTGGCGCTTTGCTCTCCTCTTATTCTTCATTGGAAGGTTTGGATGGACTTCGCCGTTCTTTCCCAACAAAAATAGAAAAGGCTGTATCACATCGAGATGTCAAATCTTTTTCCGCCCCCAATGAGATGGGGAATTTGTAACCCCCTATTTTTACTTTTGTTTGGACCCTTCATCTTTCTGAATGGAGGCCCGGCTCGCGTCGTTCCCACAACCGGTGGGGAGCACCTCAGTATACGATCGTGCGCAGTAACTTGGAGTCCTTTTTTTTACACCTAAGGAAAACATCAATTCACGAAACCAAGGTTCATCTCGTGTAGTGATTGTGAACTCGTACAAGGATATTGAGTAGACGGTTGATGTTTCAGACTCTATCTTTCGTAGCATGCATTCCCATCGGTGTCGCAACTAATTCGGTAAGCTACGTGTCCGGTGCACGGAGGACTGCTTCGGTCCCCCAAACTGACTGACTCGTGGCAACCTTCCGGCCGCCCAACAACCTATAACGCTAGTCACTACTCCCACTGGGGCTAGGAAGTAAGCCCCACAACCCAAAGCGGCGAAGAACAAATAGAATTTTCTACAAATGCCGGCTAACGGGGGTATTCCTACATATGAGAACATAGTAATGGAGAAGGTTATAGCCGAAATAGAATTCATTTTGGCTAGAGCGCCCAAATCTGCTATATATTTGACACGGGTTTGCCGTTTTGCTAAAACTATGGCGAATGCATCTATCTTCATTAATGCATAAATAAAGATACCAATTAGTAATGATTGAATTCCTTCTATGGTTCCACATGAGAACCCAGTACGAATATAACCTACATGTCCAATTGAACTATGAGCTAGAGGTCTTTTTACTTTTGTTTGGGGCATGGCGGCCAGTGCTCCTAAAATCATAGAAGCAATTCTGCAGAAACAGAAGATTTGTTGCAATGTAGCTCCATAGGAACCATAAATAGAAACACGTGAAATATTAGCAAAAATAGAAATTTTAGGCACAATAGAAAGGAATGCTGTAACCGGGGTGGGTGAACCCTCATAGATATTAGGTGCCCACATATATAGAGTCAAAAGAGATATAGAGTCCGAAGGGGAGGGGGTTTTCTTTGGGGCTTGAGAGATGGAATAGATAGGGCCCAAAATGTGTTGAATTCGCCGCTGGGGAATTAACATGAAAGGGAACGAAGAATTCTCGACGAAAAATAAAGTGCTATCTGAACCGAACGTGAAAGTAGTTTTCCATCAGACGATTGTTCCCGTAACTCCACTCTCCACTTGGATTATATATCCAAAAAGGTCCGCTCTTGGCCATTCCACACGCTGCCTAGCAGAGGCGTGGTTATCTCAAGTGGATTCTCTCTTTTTTAGTAGATGCCAAACCTGCTGCCCCATTGACTAAGGGGGCGGACGCACTACATGGACCTGTTCCTTTCTGTTGTTGCCAGCGCTTTCCCGGGCCGAGATATAAAGGGCAGGCAACGAAAGTTGCTATCCCAATAGGCCTGCAGGCAGAACGAGGAGAGGGCCCGACAATAAAATCAATCATACCACCGCGGTCGAAAAAGCGTGTTCCCTTCAGATAACACGCACCGTAGGCCATCCTCGGCCTTCTTCGTTTTCGATGAAAAAGAAAAAAAAGATCGATCTCCGAAAGCGTTTGCCTTTAGGAATTCCTCAGACTCATATCCGAGGCAGCTTACCACAACCACCCCACACCATACGACTAGTTGGGGTTCGCCTTTTTAATCAATGAAAGTCAGTATAAGTAGTAGGGGCTTCATAGCTACTTTCATTCTAAAAGAAATCGAAGAACAAACCTTTAGTCAATAGGAGCCCTACTTCCCTCTATGCGGCCTCATCACTTCAAAGTGCAAACCCATTTCTTTCTGAGTCACTGAGCGGAGTGCGCCTTTGGTACTTCAGTAGGGCAAGCTTTTTGAAAGTTACTTCTTTTGTTTGGTAGGGCGACAAAAGAAAGGCTACTTCAATATAGGAAACTCGAGAGGGTCGCCTTTGGAAGCTTTTGCCGGTAACCAAAGTGTCACTCCTTCATTTTGTTTGATTATGTAGTGACGCTGACTGAATCCAATCCATAAACCCGAAAACGAAATAAGTTCGTTCCCTTTCGTCAAGTAGGTAAAGTAGGCATACAAACCCACTTTTGCTTTGCCTTAGACTATGACCGAACAAAAAAAGGTTCGTCACTCTTTTTCACATACACCGGGAGAAAAGGTTACGATAGCAAGCCCCTCCTCGGCCGGAGAGCTTCCAGAACAAGGGGTTGGCGGTCAACCATCCACTCTCGAGATTCATATTGATCAATCGATCTTTGCGTCCTGCCAGTTTGCTAAGTAGACTCACTCTCCCGTGGGGCAACAATTGAACTATTCCTACCAAAAACAAGGGACCTACTTATCATCCTAGGAGTTAGCAGGTATGATTGCCTCTCTGTCTCTCCGAGTTTATACTACTAAGTAGAACTTCTGCTATTCAATCATAAAATAGATTCCGATCAAGCTGAAAGATGAAAGAAAAAAGCCCTATATTATTGACAGCGCCCTGCAATTAAAAAACAACGCTAACGAGCAAGAAAAGGCCCCTTACTATAGTATAGATAGGCTAAGGTTTGAAGTCGCTCGACCCAAACAAGCAACGGCGTTCGAGCCCCTATCAGAGAAAGCCTTGGTAAAGCGTGCTAGCGCGCTTGACTTGGAGGTTCGCGCATCCTCTTGCTGGGAGAACTTTCTCAAAGTAAACTTTCTCGCATGTTAGTCAAGCTTTGAAGCCCCTACTTTCTTGATGGTTAGGATATTAAAAGACGCGCTGGTTTTGAATGGAACCCTATACAAGGGGCTTTTCCCAACCTATATATACAAGGTGCTGGTCTCGATCTCGCTTGGCGGTGCCCCTCTCGATGATTGTTGACTCAACATTGATTTCGTGCTTGAGTTGGAGGGCCCTCCCTCCATCGAGTCAAGTAATTCGCTATCGGAAATTTAGCCGCCGCGTATCTCATGCCATGCTTCTTGTTTCTCCGAATCGGTTCCGTCTGTCAGTCAATCAAGATTCTCCATCAAGAGAGGGAAGAGCCTTGACTTTCGGTTAGGCTGGTCTCGTCATTCATGCAATTCCCCCGTCCATCGATCACGCGAGCATCCAGTCAGCACATAGCGAACGAAAAAAGCGTTCATCCTGGATTATCTTCCTCAATAAAAATGTCTATCAATTGATACCTATTCATTCGGTCAAAGTCTCCACGGCGTTTTCACGCCCCTCTACTTAGAGGTGCACCATGTTGATAGGAATCAACAAAGACCTTCTTGTACACGTCCTAGAGGGCTGCATTCATGGCAATCATCACTAGTTTATCCCGAGGGCATGGTATGGCTTTGTTCTTTCTTGGTGTTGTTTAATAGATGTCGAGTGCCGCTTTTCCCCGTCCGAGAATCTCCATCTTCTCTAACTGGGCGAGCTATAATCCTTATGTCAGGTTGGTTGTTCAAAAGATATTTTATCTTTACCCTTCATCTTTTCGAAAGCCTAGACCCATTCTTCTGGATCTTTATTAGTCCCAGGTGCCCACTTCAAGAAAGACCTCTTTCTTTCTCCTCCATTTATCATTTTTTTATTGAAAGAGGATAAGCATTATCCATTGAGTAAAGGGAGGATTTCCTACACTACAGTGATTCGGGCGGTTGGTGGCCCCTTCGAGAGTTGCGGGTCCTTGCCGCTGCATGAGTGGTAGCTCACGCTAAAAACTCCTCCGACACGAGTCCTAGTCGTTGTGCTGCGGTCCGTTTTGCCGGCTTCGCTTGCGCGATTTTTTGAACTTACTTTATTATTAGTTTAATCCATCCCCGACCCTAATGAATCGAGTATGTATGAAGGGGTCAGTAAAGCAGTTCAGGTTCTCGGTCGGTTCCCATTCGCCTGCCCCCCCCCCCCCCCTCATAGTCGATTAATGGGTAGGGTGGTCAACTTAGAGGGCGCCCGCCTCCTCTTCAGACGTGTCTTCGACAACCTGGCGGTTGTTCGGTCTCCACTTTTGGAGGCGGGAGTGCTTGGTCGCTGGGGTTTCCTTTTTCTCAACCAATTCGGTTGTGTCAGCCCTGAGATTGGTTGGTCTAACATTTATAAGCAGGCTGGCTGGACAAAGATGGATGGAAGGTAAGATAGATTTGAGTTCAAGTGC